ATAAATGTGCAAGGCCTATTTTATAGTTGGGAGAAATTGGTGGATTTTATGGAAATGACCAACCTAAATGTCTTTAATTACTTCATTTTTGATGGCAGTGATTATATTTGAGACATCATATGCGTACCTCTACTTTAGTGTCACTGATCTTGATTTCGCTTGAAATGCTTGAGCATAGTTCACCTACGACTAGCGACAGATTTCTGGATGCCACGGATTTGCAAACCATGAAAATTGAGTTCTTTTCTTCTATTTGAAGATTAAAGAAAACTCACTAAAATGTAAATTTAATCAGATTTGACTCTTAGAAATTATTGATTACTGTTGTCAGTAGGTCAGTAATATTGTCAATGCATCTGTGAGGGAAACTGCATCATTTGGTGACAGTGATGTTTAGCCCTTGAAATCGGAAAAGGTCTAATAAATGCTTCCGTTATTTTCAAACACGACTTATTGCTTTAGAAGAACACTGATTGGTAGGTAAATAAAATTTTTCACTCACTTATTCAGTTTTTTGCTTATACTATCAACTCATCTAAACCAAGCGTTTGGTAACGCATGAAATACACTTTACCTGGACTCAAGGTTACAAAATCTCCCATTGTATTTGTCACGGCATGAAAACTGTTTCGATTTACGAATCCTTGTTGTTTCGTGTCTTTATAAGTCTATCTTTTGGTTGTTCGCTTTATTTTATTTTTATCTGGAACTGTTGTTATGCCAATAAAAAACAGCAAAAGTACCACAGAAACGTTCGAAGACTTTTAAGAAACAAATGAATGGATATTAACAGTCTTTTTGGTGAATGTGATAATAATTTTTAATTCAGAGTGTTTGCAGTTGATGAGAAGTTACGTAGTAAAATCTCTTCATCTAACCTACACATTTTTGTGTTCTGGTTTTGCTCAAATATACTAATATATAATTCAGTGCAGTCAGGATAAATAGATCCAGACTCTCTAACGCAAAGAATACAGGGCATGATTCCCTTTAGCAGCAGTCACTCATGAAAGCCTTCATAAGTTGTTTGAAATTCAAACAAGTAAACTAAGTTGATCAAAAATATACACTGTCCCTTGACTAATAAAAGTCTCAAAAGATGTAACAATACAACGTATAGACTCGAAAGGAATCTGTGGTACTTGTTTCGTTCAGTGGAAGCTGCGACTTGGTAGAGCGAATTTATGATCATTATCCCCTTTTGGCATTTGGTCGAAATTCAACATATTATATGTGAAAGGAGTAGTTGTTAAATCTTCTAGCTTCATGCGTCTATACACACATGAACAAGTGAACTTCACTTACGTTGTGGTTAGATATATGCACCTAATCACTATGGAAATGAAAATTTCGTAAAATAGAATTTGAAACCTACCCGACCTGTATGGTTATAGGTTAGTAACATGTGAACCGAATATAAAGTGCATTTTCTCATTCACTCTTTGCATACAAACACTAGTTAAATTGACTGGCTACTAGTTAGTCGATTTGAAGGCAACATTCTACACCTACTAATGACAGCTTGAGCCTCACTCAAAAGTGAAGTCATTCATAGCCTAGTACTTCACAGTTGTGCATATCTTGGTCCCACAGAAGAAGAAAAGACATAAGCGTTTTTTCATGCAACCAACGAATTCAAGAAAATACTACACACACTGCTCAACTTTATTCAATTAGCTATCAAACTAAGAATGATTAGGTCTTTGCAAGAACTGGTGCGGAATCAAACTCCTGTCCACCCAAAGCAAGCAAAATATTAGGCCGCATCATCTTGGAGAGACTGAAGGATGCACTGGATTCAAAATTAAAACCCGAACAGGCTGGCTGGATTCAGGAAGTACAAATCATGTGCCGACCAAATTGCAACGCTACGCTTCGCATCATTATAGAACAGAGTACAGAATGGCAGTCAACTCAGCTCAACCTCAACTTCATCGACTTTGAGAAGGCTTTTGACAGCGTCGACCGAGAAATAATTTGTCAGTTGCTTCAACACTACGGAATACCACAAACATTTATCAACCTCATTCAACATCTATGTGAAGACGCCACATACCAGCCAAGTAATTCACAATGGGAATCTCAGTGATGCCTTCACTCTGGAAGTGAAGACAGGAGTGAAACAAGACTGTTTACTATCATCCATGATACTCCTGATTGTAGTCGACTGGACTGGATCATTCAACAAACAGTGGGGAGCGAGAAGAGAGGCATACACTGGCTGGATCTATGAAAAGACCCCAGAAGAAGATTTGGATTTCGCCGATGATGATTTTTGTCTGATGTCCTGTCGCACAAACTCGAAGATCTACAGGCGACAACTAACAAGTTGGCGGAAGAGGCAGGGTAACGAAGACGGAACTTCAAGTGAATGTAGAGAGGATAGATGTGATGAAGATACTCAACCAACAACAGCATGATCAACAGGCGCCAATCACCTTAACGGCAGAAACTTAAAGGAAGTAGTCTCTTTCACCTACCACCTAAGCAGCATTGTTTCAACTACAGGCGGCACAGGCATAGATGAGGATGTCAAAGCCAGTCAGCATCGGAAAGACAGCAAGACAGGCGTTCATTAGCCTGAAACCAGTGTGGATATCTTCTCCACTCAGCATGTGGAACGAGATGCGGATTTTCAACACCAACGTCAAATCATTACTTCTGTATGGCTCAGAGACTTGGCACGTTACGAAAGGCATTTCCAACAAACTACAGACATTCATCAACAACTACCACCTACGAGAGGCTTGTTACTGAAGATCAGGTGGCCAGAATAATAGGAATAAGCAACAAGGCACTCTGACTGGCTGTGACGAAATAACCAAGAACATATTACCCAACAAATATGTAGAAGAAAGTGGAGATGGAGTGGATTGGGCATAGACTGAGGAGGCCGACTGGGGATATCACGCGTCAGGCCGTTGAATGGAATCCAAAAGTGAAGCGACGAGTTGGTGTCCCAGGTGTGGGTGACATGGAGGAGATCGTGCGAGGAGGAAATGAGAGCTTATGGGGTGTCGTGGAACCAGGTTCAAAAGATTTCAGAGAACAGAGCACATTGGGGACGTGCAAGTGAAGCCCTATATTCCATGAGAAACCGAAGGGACAAATAATAGTAATACTAAGACGAATACTACTACTACTACTACTACTAATAATAATAATAATAATAATAATAATTCTGTCGGTTTTGATGGGATGGAAACTGTAATTCCCTGCGTAAAATCAATTAAATTTCGAACAGTGAAAATCGTATTCTAAATCTGTTTCATGAAAATTCCGGTGTTTTAAACTGGTGAAGAATAGAAACAGGTATTTTGTACTTACTGTTAGTAATCTCCGCGGCTTGTTGTTAGTGCTGAATTTGAACGGAGGTTTTAAATTGGATGACCTTGAAATATGTCACTCTCTAGTAAGCCTCTAAATTAGGTCTGATGAACAACACAGATGCGCGTAAAGCTGCAAATTTAACTCACCAATACCGACCAACATTTATTTATATAAAATAATCACTTTAAATATCAGTCTGTCATAGGTTAGTGTCAGAGACACACCATTTTATCGTGAGTATATTGTTGTCCTGATGTTTTTACTATTGCCATTTTTCTGTCACGTGAAATACATAAATATCGATGATCTTAAAGCACATTGAAGACGTTGTTAATAATCATCAATTCGTTTAGTTTCATTTCTGCTATTATTAAACACGCACATATAAAGTCTTTTTGCTTGCACAAAGCTTATGATCGTTTAAAATGTATAATTATACACATAAAGTGGTACAGATTCGGTAAATTATTAAGACAACAAACAGCCTAAATAGAAAATTTCAGTAATTTTAAAAGAAATACACCAACAAAATGAGCAACAAATGTTATGTTAAGTTAGATGTGACAAAAGCAAGAAACTCTTGAAAATTCAGCCTTCCGTTACCATCTTGATCATGTTCGCGTATCCATTCGTCTAAAACTGGACGTGATATAGCCATACCAGCTTCATCAAATAAGCGTTTCAATTCATTTGCATCAATTTCCCACTTCTATCTTGATCAATTTGATTGAAAAGCCGCCGCCATCTGAAAACGTTTTAAGAAATTAAGTCAAACAAAAAGACTACGATGAAAATTTGAATGAATCAGCCACTTCAGTCATATTCATTACTACTTTTTTGAGTTTTATTTTGACTTGAGCGTTTACATATGACCAGTGTTGACCGCGACCTGAAGTAGGTAGAAGCAAACCAAATTAAAGGAGCAACTTTGATTATAATGGTGACTACCCAGTCATCATCTGAACTGTAGCTTGACAGCTGCATACTTCACTATGGTTTTAGTTTATGTTGCTGAAAGTATATAAGCGTGTATAAAAATAGTAATATGAACACATCTGCCATATTTGTCTACTTGCTTGAATGGTTCAGTAGTATAATACTTATCTCGAGTGTATCTCAAATTTTCTTTAATTATATTAGCGTTTAAAAATTAATGAAGAATACACTGGTTGATTTTTTCTCCCTCCTGACGCCATTACTTTGATAGTATTTATCTATTTTTATTGTTTCTCTTCAAAGAAAAAAACATAAGTCAGAAGAAGTCATGAAATCTGAAATGGATTCTGTTAAAATATTCATGCATAAAGAAATAAGAAGAAAAAGCTATTCTTTGATATCTCGTTCTTGCTTTTGTTTCTGTGTATAAGCAAAGATGTTAGTAATCTTCCTTTCATTCTTTCCATTTAAGTGAAATAAACTACGATAGGGAAAATTATATTAGGTAGTTAGAGATTGTAAATTTCTCCTAGAAATATCTTTGAATAAAGATTTGGAGAACAGTATTACAGCCTTACAAAAAGAGACAAATTGTATTAGTTAAAAAAATTCTATCGTTTAAAAGGTAACTGAAATTATTAGGAATATCTGTCATTACAAATGAATGATTATCGCTTAGTTGAAAGGGGGAACAGTATTTCTAAATTACAAGTCCTCAAAAATACTCTTCAAAACCTGCGATGACTCATAGGCAGTCATTTGAGAAGCTTTTATGTTCGTAATATAGGAAAGAAATCCCAAAGAAAGAGAATAGTAACCAAGATATCTGATGACTAAATAAAGAACTCGAGAAGCTTGCTCATTATTTTTTCCAGTGACTTAAAACTAGAATTGAAACATTTTCGAAGTAATGTACTGAGAATCAGGCTAATGGTATCAAAGTAATCTTTTTCTGAACAGCTGCTCTTCTTGGAAAGCAGAATTTATTAATTAGAAAGAATCAACTATTTGGCAGTTGACAATGTAACTGGAATTACTTCCGGATGGAAGTACAATGAATACACCTCGCAGAAATGTTCCAGTTGACTTTTTATAGAACTTCAGATACCACGTAATGACAAACAGGAGATATGTTTTGCTTACCAAGGTCTGTCTAATACTTTCCTCTTGGTTCTGATCTGCCTTTCAGATTGTAGTTTATCCATCTTCGAAGCATAGTTTTGACAAAGCTTCCCCATAACTATTTCCGAGAAATTACATTTTAAACTGTATCAAACTCCAAAATAAGTCCATCTATGATTAATTTAGAATACATGAAATGAAATGAATTTACTTCAGTCTCATTGAAGTTGATTGTTCCCATCTTACAAAAGTGTTCGAAATTTGAAAATATAAATTGATATGAGATTGTAAAATGCATTCAACTGAAAAGTTTGTTATTCAGCATCTAAACTGAATGAATGACTAGCCATTGACTTTCACTTTTGCTTGTGTACCGCAACTTAGATGTCAGGGACTTCTGAAAGGTACAAATTTCACAGTATATCTCTTGTGCATCAGTGTTTTATTTATTTTGTCAGTCTTGTGGTTTTATTTCACTTGCCTACCCGACACTTCGGCAACCAGCTGAAAATTGATACTGCTGTTTACATAGCATATTTACAAACAACTAAGTTGGTTGATAATTCAAAACCTGCTCTGCTCAGCATTTTCTGATTTGAAGCTATTCATAACAACACTTCTGAACAGCTTGAGTGCTGCGAAAGTCACCTGCTTAATGGATAAATGGAACAAGACTAAATATCGAAGCTGGTATTATGTTGAAAATAACGTTTACTAGTTGCAAATTCATTATTCCATGATACTCATTTGTTAGAACGTTTTAATAATGCTCATAACAAGATTGGGTTCACCACAGAACGGGAGGTTGTTAGAAAATTCAATTTCCTGGACACCACCGTACAATATGGTATGCTCTACAGATCCATTCATCGAAAGAGCACATGGAATGGTATCTACCTGAATTTTAACGCCTATCATCCCACTAGCTGCAGACAAGGATTAGCTCAAACACTATTTCACAGAGTTTAAATGATATATAACAGTAATAAAGTGAAAAAAAGTTGCAAACAGCTGAAAGATATTTACGAGATAATGGATACTCAAAAGCCTTTATCAACAGTTATGGTAGAATAGAAAACAAAATTTGACGGAAACTGCAGTCAATGAATAGCTTGTATTCATTTACCTCAATTTCAAGGGTTTTGATATCGCAGGAACTACTAACAGATAACAGAAGCCATTACCGGCTACAACTTTCTCTGCAGACAGGTAAATTCAAGTGTACCAAAAAATGTACCCCTTACTCCGGTGAAAGTCAACAGATACCTTTACTATGTTACCTCCAACTGCATACACTAATGTATGTGTTGCTACCGAAGCAGATACATTGGAAGAACAGGAAAAAGGATACATCTTGAACGTCCTGAGAACATTTCGAAAAGCCTAGGATCAAGAGGAAATCTCACTCCAAACAGCCAAACCACTCTACATCTGACTGATACTGAACATCAAGCAGATGTCTTCGATTCCTTCAAGATAATTAACCAGCAAACAGGCCTTATTCTCCTTACGCTTGCTGAGGTCATATCCATCAAACCCGTCAAATCTGATTGATGTATTCGAAAAGAGGTTAAAGTCAATTTCTGCGTAACTTCGCTTTTAGATGGACCAACTTTTCTTTTGTACAATGTTTTCAACTAACTGAGCTCACCTCCTAATGTTTTGAAGACGTTTTGCTTATTTATCGTGTGGTTTACTTATGTAATCTAATAAGTTAAATCCTACTCCTGTCGTAATTTTTTGTTCCAGAAAATTTCACTGTATGGAGTATATAGTTGTGACTATTTGATATTATTATTATTATCATTGTTATTATTGTTATTTATTAACCTTCCCGAAATTCGCCTTTATGATTGACCTTTATGCGAAGACTATTTCTGTTCACTGTAAAACTAAGCAGTTGGCAAGACGCCACCAAAATATAATGGATCCGTTTTATCCTCCTGTCATTGTTGTTCCTGTTTTTTTTTTCAAATCCATTGAAACTTCTCAACTAGCTTTCGAACATGATGACTGATCGTAGGATTTACTTTTTTTGTTCCTATGTCTAAAGAAGCCAATTACCATGGTCCTGTAATTTTGACTAAACTAAAATAGCATATACTAATACCTTACAGCCATGACGAACATCAGCCAAAAACCAGTTAAAAAGAACTACATGTTTCATAATATATACTGGATAAGTTTTCAAGACAACTATCTTTGGTGAACGCATGTAAAATGAAAAGAATGATGAACACTAAAAGTGAATCAGGGACAAATGAATGGAAATGGACTAATTTGGATACTTTACTCTAGGTAACTCTAGATTTACATATATAACTATGAAGTTTTAGGCTTAAACATGTTCAAACAGCAGAGGTGTTAGCTAAGAACAATGCTATTAGAGATGAACACATTTAAGGAGGTCAGTGGACAATCCTGCATCAGTTTATCAATTAGCTTATTACAACTAAAAAATCTATCACAGATAACCACTGAAATATCAATAAAATGTTTGAATGAGAAACGTGGTTATCAAAGTGAATGGCATTCTTCATGGAAGAAAAAGGATTTGTAAAGGGTATATTTCTTACAGGAATAGACTTACTAATCTGTGAATAAATACAATGAAATGAACCTGTTTTAGTGCGAAAGTGATTTAAGGTTGTGCATCTGCTATTTTTGATTTTAAAAGAAATTAAAAATGGCTTTCTTGAATTTGACAGTGTAGCAAGTTTTAAGGCAAAACTCTTAAAAGATATGATGTACAAGAGCAAATCTGGAGCAGAATGGACAAAATATTCTGCTGAAAAACGCTATCTAGTAGTTAGTACTGCTTAACTGCGTGATTCAAACTGAACTGCAAACCACTGGCTTCAAACATTCACCTGTTTAGTGACAGTTGACATTCTGTGAGATAACGCGATTTTTCCGCGCTTACAAATTAATAAGCGACTACCAAATAATAATTAAATACATAAGATTTGTCATTAGAGAGAGCACTAAACAATCCGCAAGTTGGTAGTGATAGACTGTTAGTCTCTGAGATCTATCTCTATCTATCAACCAGTGCAAGGATGCACAATAAAAAGATGAACTGAGAACAATGTATAAAACACTGGACAAAGAAGTGAAGAAGAGTGCACACAAAGACAAAAGATACTTCTGCGAAACGCTGGCAAGTGAAGCAGAATAGGCTGCAGGTAGGAGAGACAGAGACCTGACAACACTGCATCAAATACCTAGGTTACTTACTATCTAGGATGGAAGAGATCAACAAAAATGAAACCAATAAAAGATGATGAAGGAAATATAATTGCAACAGAAGAGAAACACAGGAAACGATGGGCTGACCACTTCAAGAAGCTCTTGAATCGACCACCACCACCTGCACTTCTTCCAGAAATACCACCTGTAGCCCAGTCACAGAACTACCAGTGAACACAAATCCCTTAACAAAAGTGGAAGTCCTGAGCACCATAAAGCTACTGAAATGCGAGAAAGCAGCAGGACCAGATGGGATCCCGCCAGAAGTACTAAGAGTAAACGCAGGACAGCAACGGACATGCTCACACCTCACCACTATTGCAGAAGGTCTAGAAGGAAGGGAGGAAAGGTACCTGCCGACTGATTGGAAGAAGGGCTATCTGGTCAAACTTATGAAGAAGGGTGACATAAGTCTTTGCAAGAACTGGTGCAGAATCAAACTCCGGTCCACCCAAACCAAGCAAAATATTAGGTCGCATCATCTTGGAGAGACTGAAGGATGCACTGGATTCAAAACTACGATCGAAAAAGGCTGGCTGGATTCAGGAAGTACAAATCATGTGCCGACCAAATTGCAACGCTACGCTTCGCATCATTATAGAACAGAGTACAGAATGGCAGTCAACTCAGCTCAACCTCAACTTCATCGACTTTGAGAAGGCTTTTGACAGCGTCGACCGAGAAATAATTTGTCAGTTGCTTCAACACTACGGAATACCACAAACATTTATCAATCTCATTCAACATCTATATGAAGACGCCACATACCAGCCAAGTAATTCACAATGGGAATCTCAGTGATGCCTTCACTCTGGAAGTGAAGACAGAAGTGAAACAAGACTGTCTACTATCATCCATGATACTCCTGATTGTAGTCGACTGGACTGGATCATTCAACAAACAGTGGGGAGCGAGAAGAGAGGCATACACTGGCTGGATCGATGAAAAGACCCCAGAAGAAGATTTGGATTTCGCCGATGATGATTTTTGTCTAATGTCCTGTCGCACAAACTCGAAGATCTACAGGCGACAACTAACAAGTTGGCGGAAGAGGCAGGGTAACGAAGACGGAACTTCAAGTGAATGTAGAGAGGATAGATGTGATGAAGATACTCAACCAACAACAGCATGATCAACAGGCGCCAATCACCCTTAACGGCAGAAACCTAAAGGAAGTAGTCTCTTTCACCTACCACCTAAGCAGCATTGTTTCAACTACAGGCGGCACAGGCATAGACGAGGATGTCAAAGCCAGTCAGGATCGGAAAGACAGCAAGACAGGCGTTCATTAGCCTGAAACCAGTGTGGATATCTTCTCCACTCAGCATGTGGAACGAGATGCGGATTTTCAACACCAACGTCAAATCATTGCTTCTGTATGGCTTAGAGACTTGGCACGTTACGAAGGGCATTTCCAACGAACTACAGACATTCATCAACAACTACCACCTACGAGAGGCTTGTTACTGAAGATCAGGTGGCCAGAATAATAGGAATAAGCAACAAGGCACTCTGACTGGCTGTGACGAAATAACCAAGAACATATTACCCAACAAATATGTAGAAGAAAGTGGAGATGGAGTGGATTGGGCATAGACTGAGGAGGCCGACTGGGGACATCACGCGTCAGGCCGTTGAATGGAATCCAAAAGTGAAGCGACGAGTTTGGTGTCCCAGGTGTGGGTGACATGGAGGAGATCGTGCGAGGAGGAAATGAGAGCTTATGGGGTGTCGTGGAACCAGGTTCAAAAGATTTCAGAGAACAGAGCACATTGGGGACGTGCAAGTGAAGCCCTATATTCTATTAGGAACCCAAGGGACAAATAACTAAATAAATGAATAAATATGAATTCAAGGGATCTTACTGAGTATTTGGTGTTAGGTTTACCTTTATAGGTACTATACCAAGCAATACTCTGAAAATCATGTTTATATTCCACTAACTCATTTTTATATTTTAACTGGTTGTAAAGCTTTTAACTGTCGACACTATATTATGATGCTTCCATGCTGACTGTTTTAGGTGTGATATAAAGTCAGCAGGTACAGAGGGACAGCAAAACATTTTTCTAAATTTCTAATCTTTTAATGATCTGTTACACCATACCTCTTTAAAGTTTTGACCTGCAGTATCCTGGCTGACTCTGGTTGGCCACTTTGTCTTATGGTTGGATCTACTTTATCTTTTAATCTACAAATGTTCACTTTCCAATATTGAGTATTAAACAGGAGCTATGAATTACAAAATGACCGCACGGTAACTAGTATCTCTCGAGGAAAATGACACACAAGTGAGCAGCATAGTACCAACTTCTACCTAATAACTTAGCCCGAAAAGATAACGTCATATATCTACAATAACAGAATCTTGAGTAATATAGCTGTATGTTCAAACAGGTTAGATAATTTTTGAAACCTACACAAACCTCACTTAAATTACATTTTTCCTTGGGAAGCGTAAAGAAACTCAAAAGTATGATATTTCAGGAAGACACTTGTTCACTTTCTATAGGCAGTGACTTTCCTTACGACAGCATGGAGTTTATCACTAAATCCAAGACAATGGCTTTTCGACGTTGAGAGTATGTTGCGTAAAACTAGATAAAAATGAACTTCATCAATGTTACGTTTTCTCTCTTTAAAAAGACAGATATTTTTTGTCTCGGTACCATTCACGCTTTGACTGCGAGCCTAAGCAAAGTGTCTCCTTACAAAGAGGCCCCTCAGAAATGTGGTAAAGTAAGGAAATACTTGATAGACTTTTATTTCTGATACCACGCTAAGCAACCGTAATACAGAGAAAAGAAAACTGTTCTGTCAAAACGATAAGATTACTCCTACCTTACATATATGAAGAGAAATGTAACGTTTCAAGCAGTTCGTCTCAGTCATCAAATACCTTAGTCTTGGTTTCCAGTAAACTAACTGCCTTTACAAAGTACTTAAGGATAAAAATTACTGCGAATAATCAATGATAAAAAAATACATGGCACGCTATGGAGTGTCTATATCTGATTTCCAGCGACGGATTTAGTAAACAAAGTGGTATACTAAGTACGATTTCAAATTATTGCAGAATCATGAAGAATTCGAATAATAGATTTTACTCTTCTGGTATTAATTATGAATATAATACACCAAGTTTTGAGATTCAGGTAATAAGATAAATGGATTTGGTAAATAATTTCATTTTAGGTAGTAACTTACAACCAAGTGAAAATGAAAGTGACTTACTCAGCTGTAGGTTCCTTAGTTAGTCCTAAAGCTGTTTTATATTCTTCAAGCGTGATAAAGCCGTCATTATTCATGTCTAACTGATGCATTACTTCCTAGTTTTTGAAAACAAGGAAAGAAACAAAGTGGATACAGTACTCTTGTATTGCGAAACTGAGAATAAAATATGAAACAAAATTGTGATTATTATTCAAACAGTCATAAATAAGACTGGATTATCTTAAGAAAGCCATTTTTCATCTATATATCATTTCGATCTCACTTGTTTTGCAAACGTGAAATTGACCAATTAAAACATCTGGATATTAAGTACATAGTAGATATCGAACAAGTTTTCCAGCAGAAAATAAGTCAGATACAATGTTCCAAATTGTGTGTAAAGTCTTACCTTTACTCGTTGACTGTTTAAATACGAAAATATTTGCTAGTTATTTCAGTGTCTACACAAATCTTTTCAAAACTTTTCAACTGATATCAGAATATCCCGAATCGGATGACCTCCTTTGATATAAAAGCACTAACAATCATCAACCTGCAGTTAAATTTGAATATGCACATATTCCTGGAGTTAAATCCATTTCCTCTATCTTCTCTTTTGTTACACATTTCTTGTTAGGAAGGTCAACTAATCAAAGTTGTCAGGACAATTGAGCTAATTTCAAATAGCGGCAGGATAGTCAATAAAGCAGGATATTCTTGCTTAAAAATACGGTCATTACTTTGTACATTATGTAAGAGAAAAGGATTCATTTGTCGCCGGGGCAATATCATCCGACACCTAAATTTTTAGGCTTTTGTAACATATGTGTGTACCTTACGGTTGCCATACTTCTTTTTGAAACACACAGAATACGGGAAGTATGAAACTTCGTTTCAAACAACAGTTCTTTAATATTCACTGAAAACACTCTAGCATGCTGTTATGTTCAACTTGTAATGACTGCTAAAACCTGATCATCTATATTTAATCAAATATTGGCCATCCATTAAAGGTTTTCTTTTATTTCAAAATACATTCACCCTGACGCTGACAAAGCACTACGAAAGCATGATATATTAATATACATTCATTCTACCACCCTCAATAGAGCAAAAGCATCAGTTCCTTTGATTCATTCAAAAATGAATTTCGGAAAACGATTGTTAATCTAGTTTTACTTTTCTTTAATCAGAGTACACGTAATTCATTTATTCAAAGACCTTTTGACTGGAGCCAAATTTACCTAAGTATATTTACTATCTTCATACTAACCTCACTTACGATGAAACTTAAAACTAATGTAGGGAAAATTTTTTACCCAAAATATCATTTTATTGCGCCAAATATCAGAAGAATAGTATCTGATCCCATCTTTTGCTATTCCAAACACCATTTAAGAGAAATTAGCAGTAGCGCTCCTAAAACTGCTGATAAAGGATATGAAATTACAAGGTGAATGCTTTGATAGGATAAACAAAGTTTTGCAAAAAACTAAATCCTGCGATGAAAAATTTATTTGGTAAAGTACTGCACTGCTGAAAATCTCTAACTAACCCATGAAATCTATCTACCATCCCTCGACGTATCCAGCCATCTAGAATGTGTTTTATGTTATCCGATGTAACTGAACTCACAGTGTTTTAGATGCATAATATGAGTAGCACCTCAGGTCCTAGATAGGAACAGACTAAAGACAATTTCTCCCAATACCTAACTGGTTTGAGGCTGGTCAAACTAAACTGATTGTTTGAACCTCGATGTAGGTAACTGTTTCTTATCAAGTTTACATTTTATTAACTTTCAGTGTGACGAAATGAATACCCCAATTTACAAATGTTACTGTTAAGACACCATAATATCCTAAAGAAAAACTGTCGTGCTTACTGAGTGCAATTAATAAAACATTTTCCAACTTTTTTCTGTTCTATATTTATTTGTTTAGTCTTAAAGCAATTCGCTTTGCTAACTGAAACGCACAGGACGCTTCACCAACACGTTAGATTTAAGGTCTTTAATTACGCAATTCAGTGCGTGTTTTACTGCTTGTGTTTCAAAGGTTGGAGATAAATTTCTGCTAAATATTCAGATTTAAATGTAAACAAATGCCCATCAGTTAAGCATTTACGAGAAGAAGCGATCCTTAATAATGAGTGACTTGCTACCAGATGAGATTCCCCGGAATTTCTAATAAGAATCCGAGACACGAGGGTGAAACAAATGGACTGTGAGGACATAAACTGAGAACTAGCATTAGATGAGGGTAACGTTATTTCACTAGTTAACAGAGGTAGGAAAATATTGGTTACTGTATTGCGTCGCATTGGGTCGTTGAGTAGTAAAAAGGTCCTGGGTTCCAACCCCAGTGGTGTCATGGGTATGGACATCTGAAGAGTTCCATACTAGAAGAAAACAGGTTTCCAGTGCCCCTAGGTTTCCAATGGTTCTCTAAGTGATATCACGTGAAAAAGAAGGACATTCCTTTGTCCATGAATGTTCCATCAGAACGCTTAACATGCTGCTTCAAAATATCTGCAGAGATCAGGGAGGGTATAAAATAATACAAATCCATTCGATATATTATAACATTTAATTTCTTCAGAGATTATTTTAAGATTCCTTTTTTTCAAACTATGGGAATTCACTGACTACTTCTATGTAACCAAACATAATATAAGTATCCCAACACAACCTGAATTAAAGCATCTTATTTTTAAAATTAGAGGATATTTTCTACCTAAACAATACAGTCTTAAATACCATCAAATTGATTGCTGTTAGATGAAGTAATACAAATTTCATTCTTAATGAAATAATCTAAAAAGTAACTTGTCTTAATGTGAAAGATAATGTAACTCACTTCAACTCTTGTCATAGATACCCCTACTCTTACAAGTCGTGTAGTAAGTTCTTGTCTACTAACAACACCATCTCCATTTCCATCAAGAGAGTTGAATACATCCAATAATTCCTCAGCACTTAAACATCGAGGCATTACAAACAGCGTGAAACAGATTTCAGTGAACTATGGTAAATAGTGAAAAACAGCAATGATGAATAGCAAAGCTTAAATGTAAAAACGAATAATACTCTCGTGTACAGTAAAAACTAAGATCATAGTTCATCAGCAGATGTTCAACATATATTACTATTCAGTTAATACTCATTTCAAAAATATTGTACATTGAAAATGCTTTTCTAGGAATAGGTTGTCAAATTCTATCATAGTTTATTTGGGACGTATTTTATTCATGAGATAATATTGTAACACAAAGCTACAGAGCCGTCAGTAACTCATTAGTTAGCTTAGTATAAATTTTGATTATATTATAAGTCGACTCTCCGGTTTCGTTATTGTTGTTGGTAGGTAAACCTTACTAAAAATGATACTTTTCCTAGTGAGGGAAACATTCATTTGTTTAACTACAGCTTCTCTTTTCAAAGTGGTGTTTCTTACTAACTCGTAGAAGCTTGCAGTCCCTTTCAAAATATGTCTAAAACTAAAAAGGAATGGCATTTTGGTAGTATGTTAGTTCTATTTTGCCTTCGTCGAAATCCGATTTTTTGACTAAAGCCTTCCTAACGAAACATTAGAAAATAGCTGTAAACTTCTTTGCAACTAATCCTTTGGTTACTGTATTCTTAAATTGTAGCACTTTTCAGCTCTGTAAAGCATGAAGGTAGTTAGTGGCCGTCGTTGCCGAATTTTATAATCCGAAAAGCAAACATGGAGAGATCTTTTCATTTGGTTGCTTGAAGTTACTACTAGTGATGAATTCTAGCTATATTGAGGACTGAATTTGAGAATTATTAAGAACAACAAATGGTTGTTTTTCCTCTAAACTGACATACATTACACTGAAGTTCCTTAACTTTATGTTGACTTCTAATACTCCTGGGAAATATAACTTGATCTTACAGTTTACTAAATGCAAACATTCTGGAAAGTGAATTCACAGTATTTCATGTGGGATTTCTGATTCCAGTCGTATTTTAGCTAACATCATATACTTTTTTATAGGTCAACGTTTTCGTCCAATCTCAATGTTCCGTTCAGGATCCGACTGAATAGCGGCAACATAATGGTGGTTGGAGGCCAGTTAAACTGTTCCTTGGAGTGTTCTGTCCATCGTTCCACTCATCTCCCCTGCGAGTTAATCGCAGAGCCATCATTCTCCGCCATAGCCTCACTAACTGTTGTTGACCTTTTTCCCCCAGTCTCCTTAATAAGTCTAAATAACTGTCTAGTCTTATCAGTCACCACTGCCTTTCCCACCTCATTAAACTTCGCTGCCCACCACTGTTCACGGCGTTGCACAGACTTTTTCTCAATCTACTTTTAAGTAGCGCTCGCTCTTCATTGTTCTCAGAGCCTGCAGAGAGGCCTTCACGTGCATCCATTAGTCCGGAAGAAGCTGCTGATATCCACTGGCTCTTTCGATCAACTATTTTGGAGTCGGCTACGGTCTTCAGCGCCGCTTTTACAGCAGACTGGAGATAGCACCAAGCTTCTTCTGGATGAGTGATAGTCTTCTGTTGCGATGACTCACTGAACACGGCTTTGGTGTTTTCGTTGTCCAGCAGCACTCGTAGTGGTTTTGTTGCCAAATTTTTTCTACGTCCATTGAGACGCAGGCATATACGTGCTCGGACCAACGCATGATCGCTGTCCAAACACGTACTCCAGAAGGAGCGGCAGTCTTCCACCGATCCTCTCCAGCGATGACTAATAGCAATGTGGTCTATCTGTGTCCATCGCTGAGTTGAGCTCGGTGGACGCCAGGTCAGACAGTGCCTTTCTTTATGTCTGAAATTTGTGCTGGCTAAAAATAGGCGGTTATCTGAGCATAGTTGTAATAGGCGATCACCGTTATCTGTACGTTCAGCTGGGATTCCGAAAGTGCCACCTAAGTGCCTTTCTGCCTCACTCAGTCTACCCACCTGTGCGTTGAGGTCACCTGCAACAACCACCACGTCCGAACGTTTGGCTTTCGAGAGGAGGTTAGACAGTTTATGGTAGAACTCGTCCTTCACTTCATCCGAACTACAGTCAGTGGGTGCGTAAGCAGAGATTACAAAGAGACAACGGCGAGTCTCACTATTCCTTTTAGTTCTCACTGTGCCGTTCAGCCTCATAGCGCAGAGGCGACTATCAACTGGGATCCAGTCTAGTAGTGAGTTTTCTGCCCTAGTGCTTAATGCTATACCTACACCTGCAAGACCACGAGAGCTAGCTATCGAATCTGAAGAAACTCGAAGGGTGAATTTTGCGATTCACCAGACTGGTCAGGTGAATAGCCGCACTTGGGTCCTGTATGCGTGTCTCACAAACACAGCACACATCCATGCCCGAGTTGCCAGAGTCTTTGCTAACGAAGCCTGTTGACCAATTTGACGGAGGGTGTGGACATTGAAGGCTCCAATGTATAGTTTGGAGTGTGGTTTAAGGAGACTAGGGAAGCTTTTCTGTGGATTCAGATCGTTATCGAAGGCTACAGAGATACGAGAAATTGAAGTTAATGTAGTATCGTTGACTGAGAGACGTGAAGCAAGATTATGAGGTAATGATGAGGGAGGTGGATAGCAGTCAGAAGAAGCTTGAGTGTTGACAGGATTGTGGGGGCGATTGACACTTCCCGGCTGCCTACACCATAGAAGGCCATTTCTTCTTAAAGTACCTGAAAGAGATTTGTGTGACCACAGAGCACATCGGACATCTGCTTCAGGCCTGTCACACTCAGCCTTTTGTGTATGATTATTTTGAACTTTTGGATTTCTGGGGCTAGATGGTCGAAGGGAAACGACAAATGAACCAACACCCTCTAACCGGCAGACCGTGGGGCATGGTGGAGTGTGTCATTTTTGGGGCCGACCTTTTCTAACCCCCCTCACCCCCTTCCACTTACAAGGCAGAATCAGCATCGCACCGCTGCTCACCCAAGGGAAACACCTTACTGCTGTCACAACCCATCCAGCTAGCAGCAGTATGATTTCGCCCTCAGACCCCCATCATAGTATAGCAATTTATACCACAACGGTAACTGCTTTTCGTCTAACCACTATCCAACAGACCTTTCTGGTATGGTAGAACCTCGAGGGGACAAGCGTTCCACCAGCATAGCTCGTTGGGTCATTGTGATATGCAAGCCCGACCACCACGTCAAGGTAGCAGCTATCGGTCGAGGCAAGAGACCATGAAGGTTGGAGATTTTATTTGCTTCAGTTTTTACAGAAAAATTCTAAATTTTGTTGGTAACGAGAGAGTAGAGAATAATTCTACTATGGCATCGTTTATAAACAAGCTTTATAAAGTGACAATAATATTGCAAAATATCTTTGTGCTGGTCATCTGAGATGAGCTTAGCAAACCGAAATATGATGACCTATTTACAAATCACTCAAGAATTGCACTATCCGCGTTGACACTTCTCCCAGCTGAGTTATTTTCCAACCGCTTATCCGGACTGTCAGCAGGATTCTGGTTGTAAGCCACCCAGCTGAGATCACATGGTGCTATGAACTGATGAAAGATACTAGAGAACGATATAAGAAGTTAGTGTAATGGAATAAATGATTTGTAAATCCCTCCTGAGCACTCCATTTGACAGTGTTGATATTTAATTGAATACTTTCACCCTCATTATGGATACTATCCTTTAACCCTAACCGATGTAATATTATTTTATCATTAATTGTCTTTGTTTTTACTAAGGCCTATCGTTAATGCCTCACTTTGCCATTGTGTAATCCAGGACTGTTTACAATAAGGAGTTGTTTTACCGTTCCCGGAATTTTTTTTGGCTCAACTTAAGGTTGCTCTGTGAAGTGACTGCTTATCTCCTAACTGTTTGCTGGAAACGTTTATTGATTGATTTGATTCCTTTAGACAGAGTTTCGATCCCATTTTGTGAAGAATATTCCTATTGATTCTTAGGTATTTAACAACTGTATTTGATTAATCACTTTTTGCTGTAGGTTCGTATTCCAAGCCAGAGAAAATTTCAAACTGTATAGTTGCCCAGCGGGATTGCTGAGGTACTTTTGTTATTTTGATATAAATTGTTGTTGTTTACTAGTACCACAGATTTACCACAAATCTGTCACAGCTTCATTACTTTAAATCGTATTTTAATATTTCTGAAGCATAATCTTTGACTGTGGAACTCAAGAAAGTTTAAGAAACTATACAGTAGAACGCATTAACTTGTCTAGATCGCGTTAGCCTGGTTCCGTTAAATTATTTCCTGCGTTCAAATCGAAATACTTGGATTTTGGTCGTTACAGTTAAAAGCCATTCACACTGATCTGTAGATTTCTCTAGCCAAACCAGAGTGATCTAAACATCCAGCCGAATGGTTTCTAACTACTCATTCTTTTCGTCAGTTTATGGCATCCTCTGTCAAATATCTTTGTTGGGTGGTCTTTAGCGGAAATCATACTGAAGTCAAAGTGAGACAGTTTAAAACCACCCGGCCGTAAAACATTTTAACATGGACAGCACAATTAGTAAATCGTTTGCAAACTGCAGATTCTATCTAAAGTGTACCATTTTATCCGAAACGCCAAGCTTTCTATGGTTCCGAAACATCTGACTCTAAAAGCTTAGTTTTCACAGGTATACTTTTGATGGGTTTGACACCAGACGAGCAGATTCTATTCAGTAAAGTGTTGAATATATCATTGACAAGCCTTGAACTTGGACAAAATTGCTTATTAATACTAACTAGATTTAAATGGTTATTCAGCAGACAATAATGCGCAATGAAAGCTTTTCTTGAAATAGTAAGACTTTCCGCTTTCACCTTAGCCAATACCCTTTACTTCTCTTATATACCTAACTCAAGTATATTTCATAGTTGCAAGACACTGACTGTTTCTGAGTTCGTGAAGATATAAATCACAAAACGTCTTTTGGCAGTAGGTTTATCTCTAAATACTGCCTCATTTATAGTAAGTTTTACTTTTCCACTTATTTGTTAAAGGGATTACTCCTAAAAGAGCGATTTCACAGTTATCTCATGAACA